GGCTCAACGCAGCTGGCCACCCCGAAGGGTGGGCGGGGGCCGCAGGGCGCAGCGTGCCTGGGGACCCAGGGCCCTCGCCGCCCGGGGCGAGCACACTGCAGGAGCGGGACAGCGGCCACCAGCCAAGCCCGTCCCCGCAGGCTGCTCCTTCGGCGGGAAGGTCTATGCCTTGGACGAGACGTGGCACCCGGACCTGGGGGAGCCTTTCGGGGTGATGCGCTGCGTGCTGTGCGCCTGCGAGACGGTGAGTGACCTCAACCCGCTGTGGCCGCGGCCCTCGCGGGTAAGGGAGCGGAGGGGTTCTGGGACGTCGGAGTGGACTCGGAGCTGCTGAGGAAAAAGAAAAGAGCCTGCAGATATTTGGGATATTTTCCTGGCAAAGGACGGGTAGGTGGGGCGCCCCCTTCAAGTCTCAGGTGTTGATTATTGATCGCCCACTATGTGTCAGTGTCTTTGCCAGCTCCTTTTCGTCTCTCACTTAACTCGTAGTACAACCCTGCTAGGTAGATACTATTATTATCCCCATTTTACACATCGGGACCCCAAGGCCCGGAGAGCTTAAGTAACTTGTCTAGGTTCCCGCTGCTTTTAAGTAGCAGAGCGGTCTGCCTCCGTGGGACCACCTTGCCTTGGTCCCACGACTCTCCCCCGCTAGCCCTTGGTTCTTACGGATCGGATCGGCGTCTTGCACTCACTTGGTTTTCGTGTCTTCTCCGCGAGCAGCCTCAGTGGGGTCGCCGCATGAGGGGCCCGGGCAGGGTCAGCTGCAAGAACATTAAACCCGAGTGCCCAGCCCTGTCCTGCGGACAGCCACGCCAGCTGCCGGGACACTGCTGCCAGACCTGCCCCCAGGGTAAGGCCCGTTCAGTTGTGAGAGGAGGACGGCCGGACCACGGTACTTGGTCCTGAGCCCTGCGGATGGGGTGGATGGAGCGGACCGAGTGGCCAACTAGCCCTCCCAGTGCCCAGCTGAAGCCCGCGTCCCTTCTCCCATTCCCCTGCGCAGAACGCAGCGGTACGGAGAGGCAGCCAATGGGCTTGGCCTTTGAGTATCCACGGGACCCAGAGCACCGAAGCTACAGTGACCGTGGGGAGCCAGGCGCTGAGGATCGGGCGCGCGGAGACGGCCACACGGGTAGGCAGGGACCCGTCAGGGACCGGGGTTGTGGTTTTGGCCCTGCTACCATAGCAGGTGATAGCACTAGGGGACATCTTCCTTCCCTTGCAGACTTTGTGGCGCTGCTGACTGGGCCAAGGTCTCAGGCTGTGGCACGGGCCCGAGTGTCACTGCTGCGCTCTAGTCTGCGTTTCTCCATCTCCTACCGGCAGTGAGAAAGGGGAAAGAGGGAGGAGGGGTGGGCTGGGCACCAGGGGCAGGAGAATTGGGAGAGATTGGAAAAGCTGGTCTGGCCCAGGCTCAGAGTTCAGGCTCACCAAACCTTTGTTCTAGGCTTGACCGTCCCACCCGGATCCGCTTCTCAGACTCCACTGGCAGTGTCTTGTTTGAACACCCTGCAGCCCCCACCCAGGATGGCCTGGTGAGATGACGCCATTATAAGTGTGCTGAGTGGGCACTGTGCCGAGGGTGTGCTCTGTATTGCTTCCTTTGGTCCTCACAACAGCTCAGTGGAAGGAAGGCACTGACATTATGATGCCCATTTTACAGATGAGGGAACTGAGGCTCAGTACCAGAATGTGATTTGCTGGAGGTCACACAGCTAGTAAGTGGTGGAGCCAGGATTTGGACCCCAGCATCTCGATCCAGGGTCCCTTCTTAAGCTTCCTAGGAGGGCCTGGGGGCTCCTTCCCATGTTCCTTTCTTGCCAGAGCTGGGCCTCTTAGCTGGCCTGTCCTGCCTGCTGTCTGAATATGGCCTTCTTGTCTCTGTGCTCTAGGTCTGTGGGGTGTGGCGAGCAGTACCTCGGTTGTCTCTGCGGCTCCTTAGGGCAGAACAGCTGCATGTGGCACTTGTGACACCCACTCATCCTTCAGGAGAGGTCTGGGGGCCTCTTATGCGGCACCGGGCCCTGGCTGCAGGTGAGGGGAGCAAATGGCTTTTGGGTGTGGAGTTCAGTCTTCTCTATCCCTAGGAGTGGAATGGGCTGAGAAGGATTTTTTTTTGATGGGCTCTTATGGTCCACCCTCCCCCAGAGACTTTCAGTGCCATCCTGACCCTGGAAGGCCCCTCACATCAGGGCACAGGGGGCATCACCCTCCTCACTCTCAGTGACACAGAGGACTCCTTGCATTTTTTGCTGCTCTTCCGTGGGCTGCTGGAATCCAGGAGTGGGGGTAAGTGGGATATGGGGAGGGCATGTAAGAAGGGTAAAGAGAGCACCTAGCTCACAGAGGTGTCCACGTGTGCCGTTGTTGCAGAACTAGCCCAGGTTCCCTTGCGGCTCCAGATTCTACACCAGGGACAGCTATTGCGAGAGCTCCAGACCAATGCCTCAGCCCAGGTGAGTTAAAATCTGGCTTTTGCTGCTACCTGCTCTGGCCTCTTGCTAGGCCTACCATATCCTGCTCTGTCCCCAGGATCCAGGCTTCGCTGAGGTGCTGCCCAACCTGACAGCCAAGGAGATGGACTGGCTGGTACTGGGGGAGCTGCAGATGGCCCTGGAGAGGGCAGGTGGGCCAGGGCTGCGTATCAGCGGACACATTGCTGCCAGGCAGAACTGCGATGGTGAGGCAGGATGGTGCCTGGCACCCTGAGCACGCACAACTGAGAGGCATAGAAAAGTGCCAGGGGTGGGGCCGGGATGCGTATAGGGGGATCTCGGGGGCTGTGGGTATGAATGGGCATGGGGCCAGCTTGCCTCCACTTGTCTTGCTCCTCTGCAGTCCTGCAAAGTGTCCTTTGTGGGGCTGATGCCCTGATCCCAGTTCAGACTGGTGCAGCTGGCTCAGCCAGCCTTAAACTGCTAGGAAATGGCTCCCTGATCTACCAGGTAAGAGTCAGGGGCTACAGGAGGTGGGAAGGCAGCAGGGTGGGGTGGGGCTTTGGCCCGCATTAGTTTAGGCCCCAGGCCTTCTTTGCCATTGCAATTTGCCCTCCCCAACCCTGTCCATCAGGTACAAGTGGTAGGTACAGGCAGTGAGGTGGTGGCCATGACACTGGAGACAAAGCCTCAGCGGAGGGACCAGCGTACTGTCCTGTGCCACATGGCTGGACTCCAGCCGGGAGGACACATGGTAAGTGCTGCAGGCAGAAGTAGGCCAAAGAGCCCACGTACCATGGCTGATAATTCAGGCGCTGTGAGAAGCCAGGTTGGATGACCAGGGATGTTCAGCATCATTCACTCACTCACAGGCTCTCTCATTGATGCATTGATTTACTGGGCACATTTTTATTGAGCCTCAGGCCAGGGACTGGAGTACAAAGGAAATCAGATGTGGCCCCTGTCCTCAGCAAGCTCATATCAAA